ATAGACTCAGGGGACTATTTGGCTGCATTGGCCAAGTATCTATTTCTAGCTCTAGGTCCATGTATCTACTGATTTATTTATTTGTTTGTTTGTTGATTTATTTATGTTTTTTTTCACTAAAATATTGAAAACATATTAAAGCAATGCCCCTGTCCAATGTGAATGCTGGCTGACAATCTGATGCCAGTTTCTCATGTCACTATGAAATCTTATGTGTGACTCTGTTATTGTCTTCTTGTAGTATTGACAAACTATTTTCCTGTTTAACACTGTAAAGCTGCTTTGACACAACCAGTATTGTATAAAGTGCTATACAAATAAAGGTGACTTGACTTGACTTGTGCCTGCTACACTGCCAAAACTGATGGACTCACTGCCAATACATTCACTTTTCTGTGACAACCTTCTTTTTTAGCAGCAAGGACATACAAAAAGAACCTTGATATTACCATGTTCTTTCTGTCATTGTTATACCATAGTATTCTTTGAAGACCTATGATGCCTCAAAACACTCAGTGCGATAATAAAGTACCATTATCTCTGACATGTCACTGTTCCGCTATAGTGCTAGTTTTGTGAGGGGACCTGTGAATGACAGCAGCATCCTCATGTTACCCTGCTCTCAACTCCACTTTGAAATACATGACAAGGGCCAAACTAGGACCTATAGTGCTGCTAGTGTAATATATGAATGTCCATTTCCACTTCTGGAAAAACAGTGTCCTTTCCATGACTAAGTGCACTCTTCCAGAAGAAAAGATGGAGTGTCAGTAGATTTTCTCAAGACTATTGAACGAATCACCTTATATCAGTATTACTGCACTGTAAAGCTGCTTTGACACAACCAGTATTGTATAAAGTGCTATACAAATAAAGGTGACTTGACTTGACTTGTGCCTGCTACACTGCCAAAACTGATGGACTCACTGCCAATACATTCACTTTTCTGTGACAACCTTCTTTTTTAGCAGCAAGGACATACAAAAAGAACCTTGATATTACCATGTTCTTTCTGTCATTGTTATACCATAGTATTCTTTGAAGACCTATGATGCCTCAAAACACTCAGTGCGATAATAAAGTACCATTATCTCTGACATGTCACTGTTCCGCTATAGTGCTAGTTTTGTGAGGGGACCTGTGAATGACAGCAGCATCCTCATGTTACCCTGCTCTCAACTCCACTTTGAAATACATGACAAGGGCCAAACTAGGACCTATAGTGCTGCTAGTGTAATATATGAATGTCCATTTCCACTTCTGGAAAAACAGTGTCCTTTCCATGACTAAGTGCACTCTTCCAGAAGAAAAGATGGAGTGTCAGTAGATTTTCTCAAGGCTATTGAACAAATCACATTATATCAGTATTACTGTACTCTGTACTAAATATTACTGTACTCTACTATGTTTGCCATGATGCTATGCACTAAAATTAAAATATAAAAACAATAATAATTAATGTCATTTCTGCACTACTTGTGGCATCAAATAGAACTTCACACATAATAATAGTTTTCAAATAGTTCTCCTTTTGTCTGCCATTGGTTTGGAAAAAAAATAGTCTCAACAAAAACACACACAATTGTTGTGGACTTGCGTTTGTTTCACAATGTATTCACAAGGTGTTGAATAACTCACAATAAGCAGTTATTCAACACCTATCACCCATTTGAAAAACTAATTCTATCCATCCATTTTTCACCACTCCAGGACTGCATTGTGGTGGCAGCAGGAAGAGTAAGGACACCCGTACATCCTTTTCCCTGGCCATTTCCTCCAACTCATCCTGGGGGATCCCAATGTGTTCCCAGGCCAGCCGGGAGATATAATCACCAGGCACTGTCCCAGATTGCCACGTGATGATGAACCAAGACAGCTTGACTTCATCCAGGGCCTTCTGCATCTCGGGGCGAATCTCATACATCCCTGGCACCTTGCCACTTCTGAGGTTTTTGACTATTTTAGTGGCTTCTGTCAGGGAAATGGGCCAGAATTCCTCCAGTCATCCAACCCTGCCTTAACTTGTGACGGCATGTCCTCCAGGTTCAGGAGATGTCCTCAAAATGTTCCTTTCACCTCCAGACTACATCGCCAGGCAAGGTCAGCAAGTCCCCATCCTAACTTACAACAACCTGGACCAGTCCATGCTTTCTCTGCCTCGCCGTCTGATGGTTTGCCAGAACCTCTTTGAGGCCAACCAAAAGTCCTTCTTCATGGCTTCCCCGATCTCCTCCCATACCTGAATTATTGCTTCCCTGGCCACTGCGGCTATGGTCCTTTTAGACTTTAACATAAAATCTATAGGTTATAATTATAAAACATTATAATTATAAAACATATTCACCTGTAGATGCACAATTACACTAATGAAAATACATGTTTATTTCAAAGTTCTTCAACAGGGAGTTTTGTTATATGTATGCGTGTATATACACACACACATCTATATATATATATATATATATATATATTAGGGCTGGGTAAAAAATATCG